CGGTGCTGGGCCGGGCACGGGGCCCGGGGGCTGCTGGTAGTAGTGTGAGTAGTAGGCGGCCCAGGCGGCGTTGGGGTCTGCGGCGGCAGCTGCAGCTTTATCTGTGGGAAGAGGGCGTGTGGCCTGAGGGGCGGCGCAGGAGGCCGGTCCTCCCCACTCCCCTGGTAAGGGCTTTACTTACTCGGGTCATGAGGAGCAGGCGGTTGCCACTGGGGGTAGGTATTGCCCCAGCCCTGGGGTGGGTACTGGTGAGGAGGGGGGCCTCCGGCACTGCAGGATGAGAAATGGGAACACTGAACCGCGCAGTGGATGGCTGCAGGTGGGAAGCAGGCCCAGACCACCACCTGTGCGGAGCGGTGGGTTCCAGGCCCAGGGAAAGGTGTGAGATGAACCACGCAGAAGACACACACAAGCTGCGTGGGCCCAAGGACGCAAAATTCCCGCAAAGGCAACATGCAGAGATTCACACACGGGGAGGAGACCAGGGTCAACATCCAGAGCATCCTCTGAAAAGGGTGCCCAGGGGGAGGGTACAGCTCAAGTGGTAGAGTGCATGCTTAGCACACACGAGGTCCTGGGTTCAAATGCCATTACCTCTTCCAAAAAGAAAAAAATAATAAAAATAAATAAACCTAATTACCTCCCCACCACCAAAAAAAAAACTAAAAAGAAAATGGTGTGTATAAAACGGGGCGGGATTGGATGCGTTTGCACTTCTACAAGGTGGGGTGGACCTCTTGGTGGTGACAGATTGGGACTGCTGCTCTTCTTGCCAGCACAGTGACCCCCCTTGTCCCAAATCCCTGGGAGCTGGCAGGCATACTCACTGAGGGGGAGCTCCGGGTGGCCCCTGATTGAAGGGCCCGGGGTTGAAGGGCCCCATGGGGCCGGCAGGGCCTGGTCCCCCTGGGCCTGGTCCTACTGGGCAGAGGGGACCCTGGTGGAAGGAGAACCAGACGAGGTCAGCGGGGTGGGAGACAGGAGCTGGGCCCAGGCTCCCAGAACCCCTCTGAGCCCACCTCAATCTTCTCCTCAATGAGCTGTTTGGCATGGTCAATCTGCTGGGGTGAACCCCGGATGATGAACAGTTTGAAGTTGGGGTCCCCATTGGGTGGCAGCTGCCGAGAGATCTCCACGAAGGCGCCTGTTTGCTGGTTTATGGCTTTCACGTTCTCGCCACCTGTGGGAGCCACAGGCAGTGAAGGGCGGGCGGGAGGAGAGCCGGTGAGGGATGGAGCCCACGTAGGGGCCTACTCACCTCTGCCGATGACCAGCCCGCACTTGTGAGTGGGGATGGAGAAGGTCATCTCCCCACCTGGAGGCCCCCAGTTGCCTTGGCCCCTTCCTCGACCTCGGCCCCCTGGGGGCATGCCAGGACCCCCCGGAGGGCCTGGGGGACCGCTCTGCAAGGGAGGGAGGAGACAGAGGGTGAACAAAGGAAGCCAGCCCGGCCCCTCCATCCCAACCAGCTTCTCGGCCCACCCACACCACCTACCCTGAGGCTCTGGAGGAGATCATTGATGATCCGTGCTGCGTGCTCGCACCGGTCTGGGGGCCCCATTATGTGAGCGATCTTCTCGGGACCCGTCCCGTCATCTGAGGCAGTGCCCAGAGAGCAGACACGGGGTTACAAAAGAAGCCCAACTCCAACCCCACAACACCACCTCCGGGAGACACCGGGCCAAGCCACACATCGGGAATATTTCAGACTCGAAGTGCCGCTCGCCACTCTCCCAATATTTAGGAGCCAGGAAGGAGGCTGGCAGGCCCACAATCCCAGAGAAGGAAACCAACCAGCTAAGGCGGGCTGGCGGATGAGACTACTTCCTGCACTTGGTACCCCTAGACCTAAGGGATGCATATTACACAACTAAAAACAGTAACAAATGTCTGGAAAGCACAGAGGGGTCCCTCCAGCCCACAGACCTGCTGTTCAGACACGCTCACTGAGGCCTGGCAGGAGCCCAGAGCTGGGGCTACAGCCTCCAATTCAGCTGGGGGCCCAGGCCACCCTGGCCCTTTGCTGGGGGAGAGGGAAACACACCCACCGTGGATTTGGAAAGTGTGCCCGTTGCCTGCTTTCCCCCGTGGCTGTCCCATGGAGGGCGCAGGGGCCAAGGCACATCCTGCTGGTCTGGGAGTAATAAGGCACCACACAGAGGCTCAACAGGCTGACCCTGGTGCCAAGCTGCCCAGAGTGGACCCCAAGAGTGTTCCTCACAGGACAGGACTGTGACCCAATGCCTGGTGGAAACCTGGGCTGGCCCTGACCTTGCTTAAACTGGATCCGCACGCCAGCATCGTTCTGGATCTTCTTGATCATCTCTCCACTCCGGCCGATGACCACGCCCACAGAATGCCGGGGCACTGGCACCTGGGGGAGGGCGGGACACAGGAGTGTCAGCTGGGTTCCGTGTCCACCATCTGCTGCCCTCCGCTGCCCATGAGCCAACCTCCATCCACCTTGGGAGGCCCGCACTCACATCGATGCCCCCACCGATCCGAGATCCATACTCATTCCGGTCCCCAAAGCCACCCTGGTCACGCTCCCGAAGGATGTCCATCACCATCTCGCAGGCTTGCTGCAAACACATGAGGCATGGCGCACACGCAAGCACCGTCGCCCTAGCCTCCCATATCCCCAGGGGTCACTGGTCTAAGCTATGGACCGACACACGTATGCCAAGCTCTTTATCTGCTGCCCTGAGAGACAGGCATGGTGAGCACCCCATTTTTCAGAGAAGAAAGTGGAAGATCAGAGTTCAGGCCACCTGCTCACGTACAAACGGTTGAGAGGTAGAGATCAGCATGAGAACACGAGTTGGGGGCTGGCCTCAAAGCCAGTGTTCCTGGAAACCTGCCCCCTGCCTACAAACCTGCCACCTGCCTGCCCGCTCTCTTTCCCAGAACCCTCCAACCCCGGGGTGCACTCACCTGCACTTTGTAAGGATCTCCGATGATCCGGAGTGGTTTGTCCACATTCGTGTTCTGGGAACCATCTTGGATTAAAATCATCTTCACTCCAGCTCGTTCCTTTACAACCAAGCTTGATAGTCAGAGCTAAGCTTTCAAAGGACTTTCTAAGGCATTGAGGTGGGGGGTTGGCATGACCAAAAAAGATAAAGGACTCTGGTAAAGCAGTTGGGGGTGGTGGCGTGCAGACATGCAGACCCAGGAAGGAAGCTGTCTTGTGATGGAAGGAGCCTCTGTCCCACCCCCTCACCTGCAGCTGCTTAATCGTCTCCCCGCCTTTGCCGATGACCAGGCCAGCCTTCCCTGCGGGGATCATGATCTCCTGCACCGTGCCGTTCTGGCCCCCATTGGCATTGTCATGGAACTGTCCTGGGGGGCCCCCACGACCCCGAGAGACGATGTCATCCAGCATCATCTTTGCCTTCCTGGGAAGGGGCAGAACGGGGCGCTGTCACTCGGGGGAGTACTGGCCCGGCAGCCCGACCTGGGTCCCAGGGAAGGTGACTCCAACACGCGCTCTGGTGAGACTACCAGAAAGGGGTCTTATCCCTGGGGCTATTCAAGCTCATGTCCCCCAGTCTCATGAGTCAGAGAAGTCACTGCCAATACAGTTCCCTGGAAAGGGCAGAGGTGGAGGAACATGGTGTGGGAGTCACTGCCACCTTCAAAGGGGTACCGAAAGCTTCTGCCTGCTCCTCCCACTGCAATGACAGGCCCAGTTGGGGACTTACTGGACAGATTCTGGGGCTCCTGTCAAGGACACACTGCGCTCGGGCAGACCGCCACTGTCTGGAAAGGAGAGAAGAAAGGGTTAATGCCTCCCTGGGTGTGCGGTGGCCACCAGGAGGATCTTCCAGAGATAAAGAGACTTCCAGAACAATCAATGACTACTTCTGCCACCATCCAGCACCCTGACATCAGTTTATCTCCCCAAACACCTGAGAGACTACTCTATGCAAGTCTAAAATCCAGAAGCTTAAAGTCCAGTAAGGGAGACAGAACTTTCAGGGAAAAGGATGAAGTGGAAGGAGAGTTAGATTCCAGAAGCTCTAAAATCTGCTCCTTCCATCACCACCGACAATCACAGGGGTACCTTCCAGTCAACGAGCTTCCCATATCAGGGCAAGCACTCAGGGACCCGGGCAGAGTAGGCACTTGCCAAAGAGCACCCAGAACTGGATCTGCACCCAGATCCGACCTCAAAACTGTTATTTTTAAACAAGCTTCTCTGCCTCACACATCCCCATGTATTTCCCACCAGTTTAGTTCAGGCTGCAACTTAACCTAATGGTTCAGAGCTTGGTCTGGAGTGAGGCTCCAAGTCCTCAAAGCTAGGTCTTGCACCTCAGCCCCCGACCCCCATCCTAAAAAGGAAGAAAACAAGAACTACGGCTATACATCGAGGCACTGTGCTAGTTGAGATACTACACTGGGCCCGTGCGTACAGCGGGCTCAGGGCTCAGTCAACACCGGCCCATTCCACTTCCACCAACCACGCGCTCAAGGGATTAATAAAGAAGAGGGCCAAGAGCTGCGCCCTGCCCGGGATCTGCTCTCATACCTGGAGAGATCTGCACTTTGCAGCCTGAATCCTGCTGTATTTTGTTAATCTGTTCGCCTCCTCTGCCAATGACTAGGTAAAGAAAAAAAGAGAAACAGAGCGTGATGAGGGGGGCCTGGTGCTGAGAAGACTGCGTGAAGGGGGTTCCTAGCCCTGCTGAGAGCCCCACCACCCTCCCTGCCAAGAGAGGATGGGTGAGAGAGAGCACGAAACGGGCTCTATCAGACCAAAGGTCTTTGGGCTGGCAGGGGTTCCCGGGAGACTGCCCCAAGGTGGGGATAGCGGGTATCCCTGACCACGGCGACCCACACTCACTTAGTCCCACCATGCCGTCAGGGACCCTGTACTCTTCTGTCATTGAAGTCCTGCAAAGAGACAATGAAAGTCAGTTTCAAGGAGGAAAGAAGTGGAGAGGGGATGGAAGAGCCAGAGGGCCTCCTGGAGAAATACCCCTCAAAGCCACCACAGGCCCTGCCCTAGGGGGCCCTTGATGCTTCTAGCCTCTGACCCTGCTTCCTATGACATGAGGACCAAGACCCCACAGGCCAAAGTAGAGTCTCACAACAGCACGGGAGCTCCCTCACCCTGCAGCCAATCAATGAACCTTTCAAGGCCTCAGTCTCCCCATCAGGGCCACGAGAGGCTTGGTCTGCAGCAGCGTGATGCCTTGGACCAGTGCTGCCCCACTGGCTTAAGGCGAGAGCAAGAACCTGGACACTCACAGCAATCTGACCATGTCACCTGACATCTGTTGATTTTAATTAAAACAAAACTGGTTTTGTATCTTTCTCATTTCATTTTCCTAGTAAGTTGTTTTTACTGCATTTAACAACACTTTAGCCAATTTTGGGGGATGGGGGGAAGAAACAATCTGGTCCTTCACAAAAGATCCTATGTCAGATTCACCAAAGTCATTTTGGGGCAAAAAGGTAGGCAAGACCCACTGTCCCGCTTTCTGGGCCCCACCAACTCTCAGGGCACAAGCATCTGCATAAGACGGATGAGAAAGCTGAGGCCCGTCCACGGCCTCCTCTAGGAGGGGTGCCTGTGCTTCTGAGCATCCCCACTCCAACAGAGGAAGCAAGAGGGTGCAGAGACCACCCGTTCTCGTTACAGCCAGCAGCCACAACCTGTCCTCCCTACAGACAGGAGAGTACAAAGAACAGATGAAACTCCTTTGCCTTTCAGGCCTCTTCCTGGTCGACCAGCAATGGAGAAAAAGCCCTAAGCGACGTGGCCCTCAGACAGAGCTCTCCCTCAAGTCCATAAGAAAGGCCAGAGACAGCGAGGAAACAACATGTTCTCCAAATCACAACTTACCTGGGGGGAGGATGGATGGGGCCCAGCTGAGAACTGATGGCTGCAGAGAGAAAATCCAAAGGAGAGATTGGCCTGGCTCTTCTTTGGGACCCCGAACACTGCCGGCCCCAGGCGCTCCTGCCTGCACGAGGGGCACCTAGCACCCCTCATGGTGCTTCTGAGCCTTCCTGAGCGCGACGGAGCCTGCCTCATGACAGCACACGCGCTGAGATTTCTGCCTCAGTTTCCAAGCGCTGGGATCTCTAAAGCTCATGGACCCCACATGACAAACACCAAGAACCTCCATAAAGGAGAGGTGCTGTCTGCTCAGTACTGCCAACTCCTGACAGCTACACCCTCCTAAGACCCTGAAGTCGCCCTCAGCCTGTGTCACCCAATGCACTTACAGTCTCCCTGGGAAGCCAGTTTTTTGCTCTCTGGTTGGTCTGTGAAAAGAAAGAGGACGTCAGATGCAGCACCCACCCACCCACAGCTGCCTCAAATCAGATGCTGGTGCCTCCTGTCCCGGCAAACAACCCTCTTGCTCCCCACCCCCCACACCAGGACCAAGGCCAGAGAGTAGCAGAGATCAACCTCAGAGGGGACCAGACTTCATCAAACCCACCACTAGTACTCAGGAATAAAAACCCCTTTGTAACAGGGGGAAAATGATGGTGGCCCTGAGTCCTTCCAGCTAGGACCAAACCTGACTTGGGGAAGTCAGGCTAATGACCAGGCTGAGCATTTTAAATGCGCTGGGTAACACTGCATGCCCTACGGCAGCTAAACTGTACTCATGTGGAGCCTCAGTACAGCTGCCAGCATCTCACTGGAGTAACAATCTTGAGAACTTACAACTTGGACCTGGTCACGATCAACCTGCCCTCCTCTCAGCCACCTGATACCTCAGGGCGACAGGCCGAACAAAAAGAATGAACAAAGCTGGGACTGCTGAGGTTTTAAAAGACCAAATGGCAGCACCCCCCCCCAACTCTGAACCACATTCAAACAAAGGCACTTTACTCTCGGCCCCTTGGCCCTTTCAGCAGGTCGTTACCTCCATCTTCCAACTGCCTCTTTTGGCCCCCAAAACCAAAATCAGGAGTGCTGTTATTCACCGTTGTAGCAGCATCGCCCCCAATTTTGGCTGCAATCTAGAAATAAAGGGGTAAGCAAATGAGAATTACCACCCAAAGCTACCCTCCACAGTGTTCAAATCAACCTCTCACTTCTCTGGTTCATAAAAACCCAACAGGTCTTTCTCTCTGGCCTGGGAGTTGCTTCCCCCTGATTTAGGGAAGAGCCTGTTGGTTAAGACATTCTAAAAGAAGTTTTCACCTAAGGCCTCAGAGTTCAAGAGTTGTTCAGAAATTCCAAAACTCCTTTTCTTGATGGGATTTGTGCCTAAATTGTTTGTGGCCAGACTGTCATCCACACTAATTTGTCCTAGGGGTGAAAGGAAGAAGTTCAGGTGCCAGGGAGGGTCTTCAGGTCATCTCCACCAGAAAGAACTTTCAGACACTTGCTGGTCCAAGTGCCCCATTCTTCTGGGATGTTGTGGAGCACAACTTGCCTGTACCTCCCTCACCTTGAAAATCTTTGCATTTGTTGAACAAATCTTAGGAAAGTTTTTGCTTCAAGGCACCTGAAACCTTCATCTGACCAAAACAAAAGGTCTTTTCAAACATGTTACATTTCAGACACAGGAAGAGTAACTTCAAATAAACCTCACTCCAACAAGTTTAAGACCCAGAGTCTGATAGTGAGATTATCACAAGTTTTCCGAGGAAACACAAACCGTGAGCTGAGATCTTCCTTCTTAAACTTTTTCTTTGAACAGTCTGAGGCAAAGTTCTCGGGATGCCCAGATGGGGTCTTATCCGTCCCCAACAGACAACATCAACTCTCCCAACTGTAACTGCTTCTCAATCAAGACAGTCTGGGGGGGGCGGCAACCCCATCAAGTGCACATCAGAGTCCTACCCTTACTCCAGAGGTGAAAGCCACAGAGCACACTTGGCAGGGAACAGGGCGTTCACCTAACAGGGACCTCCCACCCGGCCCTGGAGGCATCGGGACAACCCTAAGAAAGCACTCAATGGTCTGAGATGGGTGGGCTTCCCCAAAGGTCAGCAAAGTTCTGGCTTTCTATCAGCCTCCTCCCTTCAGGCCGCGGAGAGGCCGCGAATGGAGCTGGGGAGGTCAGTCAGACCAGCATGTGACACCTCTATGGAGTCATCCCGCCTCAAAACCCAGTGGTGGAACCCTTTCCCTCTTTCCTAGAAAGAGACAGACCACACTTTCAAGCCATCAGTAGCATCAAAAAGAGCCAGCCCCTATGCCCACCCTCTCCATTTCACCTAAGTGCCTGGCCACTCTCTAGCCGCCGAAGGGTCCCCTTTCCACTTTCCAGCCTCAAGAGAAAGGACTTTACTTTCTCCCACTATCCCTCCTTCCTGGGCAGCAAGCAGGCGGAAATGGGACTCGGATGAGGGCAAAGAGGGCTCTCTGCCCTGCTGGGGAGGTGGGGGCACAGCAAGACCTTCTCCCCGGGAAGGCGGACCCCTACTTCCAAGTATGGAGCGCGTTCTAATGGCTGGGATTCCCAAAGTGAGTCCCGGCAGTCCAGAGC